AGTTTTTAAGTTTGGGAAGTATGCAGTGTCAATTACCAAACGAGAAATCGTGAGAAGCAGTACGGAGAATATCTTTTCCTGAAAAATTTCTTCGACGCAACTCATTTAGCAATGGCGTTTGAAATGATTTACTTCTTTTTTTATCTGTTACGCGCAATATTGAACGTGAAATGCATTGAGGGATGAGGAATATTTGAAAAGCTAGTGATGAATTCTCGTCGAAAGTTATTTATGAATTTCCGAAATAGAGTTACTCAATAGCCTTGAATACTGCACTCTGATTGAGAAATCATTCTGATCATCAGAGTCATTTCTGAAAAACCGTTCCAAAATAAAGCGCTATTTTGCAAATACTACTACATATTTGACATAGCGTTATGCCCAAGTTGTGGTAATAAAATAACAAAATTTCAGATTTTGTTATTTCAGATAGTTCTTCCTTCAAACATCTCATTTTTACATCTCAAATAATTGTGCATCATTTATTAACAAATTTAGCAAGAGTTAAATTCGAAAGAAGAGGAAACTTGCCTTCCTAAACCAAATGGTTCTTTCATATTTTCGGAATTCTTACCTATTTTTGAATATTCATCTATGTTTTTGCTGGATCTCCATACTATATAGTCATCCAAAAGTCTTATATTCAAAATATGGTGAAGGAAAGTATCTAAGTGGCGTTGAGAAGGTAATGGCACTGGGCTTTCAATTAAAACTTTACTCCGTTCGTTAATTTCTTTAACAAAGAATCGAAGAAACTTCAGACAAGAGGAAGTATTTATCGTCAACACATATTCCCAATACTTTAGGTCTATAAATAATACGAAGCGCATTACACACAGAACATATCCCTTAAGTGGTCACGTACCATTACCATAGGAGTAAAATTTTCAATCCAATTATTTTTTAGGGTGATTTCCATTATTTCTCAAAAAAAATTCTTATTCGCTTCATCACCCCTTTGCGCAACGATTAATAATTTGGATATTTCAAAATATTCGTTTGACACCGAAAAATAATTGGATTGAGCATTTTACTCCTATGGTAATGTTACATGGCCACTTGATAGCCTATCCTCATCAAAAAATGACAAAAATTAGGTCAAATATATTCTTCAACTGAAAATACGGGAGGCTAGAGGAAAGTAAGCGAATGTGGCAGAAATGGAATTCTAACTTATTGATTTTTTTTAGAACTGCATAAGAAGTCTGGAAAAAGTTTTGTGTCATAGGTGCCCGTAATCGCGCTATTCTAACCTCGCTTCGCTCGGTAGAATCGCGGATTACGGGCCCAATGACATAAAATAGTGCACGAAACACGTGCATTATGTACTTTTTGACTTGACAATAAAACAATTACACACTTGTTACGTAATATACTATGTCATTGTACCCTACTGTTTCACTTTGCTCCAATCTCTCCTTCTCATCAAGGTGTGGAAAATCGAGCTGTTCGTCTACGATTTACCATTTCATTGTACAATGTTATCAATCTTATCACACAATAGCATTCCACACTTAGATAAACTAACATAATACAAAA